AGCCAGCCCTCTCCTAACTAAAACAGAGCGAGCCAGCCCTCTCCTAACTAAAACAGAGCGAGCCAGCCCTCTCCTAAGATGAGAGAGTGAGTCAGCCCTCTCCTAACTAAGACAGAAAGCTAGCCAACCCTCTCCTAAGATGAGTGAGCCAGCCCTCTCCTAACTAAGCACCTGTTGTGTGTAAAGCATTGCTCAGTGCAGTGGAGGATTTGAAAAACATGTAAACAAGGTCTCCATCCTTATATTTGTATAGGAAAGAAAACATGATCACACGAAATATTAAATAGTGTCTGTTGCCCTCCCTTGGTCCTGACAAAAAAAATGCAAATTTTAAATGACAGTATGAAACAATAGTGTAATATAGTATGTGAGGATTGCTAGTAATAAGAACTAATGTTTTCAGAGCACTTTTTTTGCAGCAAGATCTGCTAATTCATTTGTGTCTTGATACTATCCTAGAGGATAGACACAATCAATGTAGTGCATCCTTCATATTAGAAAATAAAGGTTATCTCCAGGACATCCCCCAGCAAGTGAGACTCACACAGGGCAGTGTGACCCAGATTCGCCACACGAAGTGCTAAGCAGCGCTATGAGGCCAACAAAGGGTTGGCTGGGGAATGCACACAGAATCTCACACCCCCCAAAAAATATTAAATGATGGGATTTGAAAGAAATGATTTTTTTAAAGTCACGACATCTTGGTGTTTTATGAACACTGCTGATGAGGGCACGGCCTCTAATGGCTTTTCCATGCTCCCCCAACAGTGGAGTTTTGTGAAGGAGCTGAACACCAACTAGTGCCACATCGTGTTCCTTAGATGGCCCATTGTTCCAAGGACATCAGTAGTGTATACAGACAACAGGCCCCCGCTGCCATTGCTGCATATTGGTGGGGTACCCTTTACAGCTGGTGAGCTGCGAAGCACACTTTCAAATCCCCCTCTGTACAACCTCAAGAGAAGGCTGTGTGCAACTGCCACAGGTGGGGACGCTGTGCATGTCATTGCAGTCCTTGTGTAAAACTGTGTGTCATAAATAGAATCTGCCATAGCAGAGTGTCTTTAAAGCTATGTCCTTTTGTTAGACTAATTTAATTTACCAAATGCTCCTGGGGAAAGGGAAGGGGACCAAGATGCTGACTCCACATTTCCTGGGGGGGAAAAGTCACCATTTCCTAAAAAAAAAAAAGAAAGAAAGAAAGAAAAGAAAAAAGAAAGAAAGAAAGAAAAAAAAAAGAACCTGCTCTCAAAGAAATTACATCTGATTGTCGTCTGCTGGCTCCCTCAAACTCCACCTCTGTCAAAATCCTGCCCTAGCAGGTGTGGGAAGAATAGATGCCGAACTTGAATGAATACCCACATCTGTTTTTGGAAAGGGGGAACAGAAGCAGCACAGAAGGAAGGAAGAGAGATAATTGCTGGCCTGAACTACAATGCATTTTACTTGTGGGCAGAGGGCCAGCGTACAGCAGGCGAAATATGCAGGCCCATCTTATTGGAATTCCGGGGTGGGCCTCCGTTCCTGTCCGGAGACAGCTGTAAACCAGCAGCCCATGGCATCACAATCAGGCACGGAGTTTTGTCAAGGAATGCTGATATGGACAGAAGCAGCTTTGTCGGCTCCGCCTGCACCCCTGCCTGCTGCAATGACAGTCAATCTCTGCTTCCAGATGACAAGAACTGGATAAAAACTTCAAACACATGGCGACCTTTCCAAAGATTAATTTGTTTACCAACAAAATGCCCCCTCTTTGTCATCTGAAATGGGAGTGACCTTCACTTTGCCACATCTTGGCTGGAAGGATGCTGACTGTAGTCATCTGTTAAGTTAACTCCATCTCAGCAATTATTCCCTTTTTTATTTTTAGTGACAAGAAGGGTTTATTAATTCACTCTGCTTCTTGTTATGGTTTATAAATGCAACAAGCTCGTTCTGAATTACTGCAGTGTAACATCAATTTGTTTAAATCTAATTCTGCTACCGTTGCCAAATTATGTTGTGACTGTAATTGTGGCCATATGCATGGGCTTAAAACACAATCGTGTTTTGAAATCACCCCACCCCCGCTCGTGGTACTTCTTCTAATCATTTGACATTAACACAATTGCCTCACTTTCCATTACTTTATCATCTCAGAAATGATTGTGCTTTCAGTGGGAGAGATTGCTCTGCACACCCCGAGTGAAACAGTAAAGAATGAAGCTATGATTTGTGAAGTGTGGTTGCTACCCAACCAAGTTAGTGAAAAGCATTGTATAACGTACGAGTCATAAAGCTGGGAAGTCATCACAGCATTAAATCCAACCTCATGAATAAATAAAAGGTTCTAAGTTTACATAGCATTATATATTTATTTATTTGGAAAGTGGGACCAAAGAACTGGTATAATTCTCCAGCAACTCATAGCTTGCCAACAAGAAAAATGCTTTTATGATTCTTTTCTAGGTCATAACAGTTGTAATCAGAGTTATTTGTGCAGCAATTCACAGCGATGTTTTGTTTGGCTATTTTGTTATGCATTCATAATCGTTCTTTTAAAATTCATGTTAACAGTTACATGTTTCAAGCCTTTTAAAAAACCCTTTTTATTTGAAAAAAATAAATCAAAGTCAAATTTTCACAGATCTTCCAGCGCATCGCACTGTAAGGCCTGATGGGAACGAGATGCCGTGAGCGGGCAGCAGTGCCGGCGCCTGTCTCTCCACCTCTCCACCGTCCGCCTTCCTCCCTCCTCCCAGTGAGAACCCAACAAAAGCATGGGACAGGGTTGTTCAGCCTTTATGTGGCCCATTTAAGATCCTAAAATCATTAGTGGTTTTGCGTTTAGTGCTTTTTTTTAATAAATTGATTTTATGTAAATGTTTTAAAGGCAAGTTCTGTGATATGATTGTATAGTGTCATGTGTGTGTGTGCATGCGTGTGTGTGTGTGTGTGTGTGTGTGTGTGTGTGTGTGTGTGTGTGTGTTTAATGCACCAAGATCTTCCATTGGGTCCTCGTGGTGAAGAAGGAAACACCTAACTGACTATGTGTCCATATTTGCTTGTCAAAAAACGCCTGAATTATTTGCAGGCCTTTGACAAGCTGTTCAAGTTGCACAGACACAAGACTCTGCACGACCCTCGGCAGCCAGGCAGCCTCCCCATCCTGAGTGGGAAGAGTGGAAAAACTAGCCTTGCTGCTGCGCCTCTAGTTAAATGATGGCCACAATTTGGGAGGTGCTTTTTAAAACATTAAAAAAAAAAGAGGTGAATTCCAGCTGTATTTTACCTCTAGATGTACTACATTGTTGTTTAAAACCAGATAACTGAGTATTTCCCTCAAAGAGCTTTCTGAGCAATGCCTCCATTTCACAAATCCAAACAAAACTTTCTCTCTAGTGACTAACATAAAATGAAAGAGTAAACTATTTGGACAGAAAGGACAATAGTTTGATTAAAATCTACATAACATATGTCCAATTTTAAAATGATCTGCTGCTGATTTTCATGGGTTCATTTTCATGAAAAGGTTCTTTAGTGTCATAAGTGAGTATATGTTATTGACATGTCACATAGGGCAGTGATCTTTCTCAGTCACTGCTCCCGTGTCACAGGAACAATACCCACGCTATTCATTCTACTTTTAAATTATTAAAAACATAGCCAACAGCTAAGATTACATCCTAAAGTTAGGTTGTAATTCCTATTCTTTGAATTCCTTATTTAAGTCTGAATCTTGGAGTCACAAAACAAAGCACAATCCCCCATGTATCTCAGTAGACCTCTAGAAACTTCCATCCTCATCAGAAAGTTTGTGTGCCATGCAGCAGTTGCCCCGGGCTGCAAAGCCGCAGCACTCCACCAGCTAAGCCAATATTAATTCTAGGCCGAGGAGGAAAACCAACAACAACAAAAGAGAAATCTGCTGCTGTCTGTACAGACAGAGAAGTAATATTTTTACTTCAAGGGCTTTGGGGCTCCTGGGAAGCAGATAAAAATCTCTTCACATTATTCACACTGACGTTTTAAATAAAGTTCCAACAGGAATAAAAATATCTAACTTTGTGCTTATGTCTTAGACTAGAAAGTATTTCTAGGATAAAGTACTCTTAATCCAAACATGTAATGATAATATAAAGCAAATTCAGAGGCCAGGAGTGACTGAGTGCCGAGGATGACCTAGGCGGTTGAAAAACAGGAAACTTGAATGATTTAGTCTGGGATAATTAAGCAAGTTAGAAACAGTTTGACAAATTTAATCCTAAAATTAATCTTGTCCTTCGTTCTAATTTCACTAAAAGACACATTTAAAAGCACTGAACGGAGCCAACAGTTATAAATGTATTTTCAAGCTACATAGACTTCACCTTATAAAGGGCTTTTAGTATCAGAAATGATGGCAAATAGTTTACTAGTTAGAACAGAGCACCACTCCTAGATGTCCCAGGAAACCCACAGCACAGGAAGGGGCCAGTCCTCCCCTGAAGCAGCTCAGCCCCGAGCCAGCAGCAGTGGGGTGCAGGCTGTCAGGCTGCTTGTGATGGTTTTGCCTCCAGCACTTTGCTGCAGTAGGAGATGCTGCCGCACTGGCTTCGGGTTGGGAATTCTTGCTTATGTGTCGCTACGGTTACTGGGAAGGAGGATGCTGTGGGATGGTTTCCCCTTGTTTTTTCTAGTGGTAAGCCTACAGTGCAAACTATCCTAAATTCCTCTACTAATTCTTTTTGCTGCTAACTTTTCCCCCTCCCTGTTAAATTATGCCACTAGCTCATTCAAAGAGTTATCAATCACAACGAAAAATCAGAATGAGTTACAAAGAGATCTTTTAAAAATAAGTCTACATCTTTCATAATCATTACTAATTACAGACAGAATGAAAGTCACTTCATATTTTAAAAAAATTCCCAAGGACAAAAGAACCAGTCCTACTTATAAACCTGCATTCTATCTTACACCACTAATAAGTGGCTTGGAACCTTCTTTAGAATTAAGAGTTTGCGGAGCAGCTCATTACTTACATGTGCTTTTCTCTGGTTAATATATGGCAAACTGATCCCATAGCTCTCACTCACGGCAGCTCTGTGGTGCAAGTTCTCCGGATCCTGCATGATCTTTGCATTCAACTCTGTCTTTGGCTGGAACAAAGAAACAATGAAACTTTTAATGTAAAATGAACAAAAATGCTTACTAACATTTTTATATCCTTGGAGGAATATAAAATTCTTAGAAAATAAGGAGTTCAATGCAATTCTCACTGTAAAAAAAAATGGATCTTTTATTTAGGCTGCTAATAGATCCCTTTTATTCAGAGAAAAGGAAGATTTTCCTCTGTATGTTCTGTTTGTGCACAAATATGTCCTCAGACACCATTAATTTACTCAAAAAATAATGCTCCATGTCAACCAGGATGGACAAAGGACAATCAAGAATCTCTCATCTCAATTTATTTCTGGCTTTCCAGGTTAAGGACTTAGTGAATAAAATCTATACTCCAGATACGCAGGTAGAGGGCTCTCTTGGTCTGTTAATGTGGTCACATTCCTCGAGGGACATTACAGGTAACTGTTGGTTTGGACATGATAAATTTTTACCACACCAAGTGTTTATGTCTCTGCAAAGATTTTGCCATCGGTAATTGGCACTTTCATCAGAAAAAAAATGCATCTTGTTCCGATGACCTGTTCTTCATTTTAAAGGATTCCTATCAGAGTGGCGACGGTGGAGGGCATTGGAAGGATGTCACAAGACTTAGGTGACCACCCTAGCCTGGACTGCTGGGTGGGACTCAGCAAAGTGACCTCACTTCTCTGCACGTCAGCCTATTTGCTTGTCAAGGGCAGTAGCTGGGTGTGAGGCTCTCATGGCCACTGCCCTGAGCATCCGTAGTCTATGACTTCAGGTTGAAATGACAGTTGGCACTTAGGTTCAATTGGGAGATGTTGTATGGCTTTTGTTCTACAATATATTTTACAGACCTGTGGTTTTGTTCACAAAGCTAAGCCAGCTCAGTGCCATCTAGTCCCAGAACATTTTTATCTCCCCCAAATGAGACCTTGCTTCATTAGCAATCACTCCCTAGTCCTACTTCCCCCTATCCCAGCAGCCACTAGGACACTTTCTGTCTCTACTCATAACTAACGCTATTCTGGGCATTTATACAAATAGGAGCACAGTATCTGGACTCTGTTTACTTTTAAAGGAACTTGGAGACACTGAGAACAACCAGAAAATTTGATTTGGGTTTAATCAAATATTTTAGTTCAGAGGGTGATCGGGAGCAAGTGGCGCCAGTAACCCAACAGACAGCTCCAGAATCCACGTATTTCTTCCAACTTAAGCATTCATAAAAATACTGAGGCCAGTGTGGAGAGGAAGGCTACAAAAAGGACAAAGGAACCAATCTTGTCAGGATGAGGCTGTTCCTAACATGCGCTCCACGCATCCCTCTGTTTTTCATTGCTCTTGAATAACCAAACCTCCAAATAACTGTCCTCAACTGCCCTCTGTATTTAACCCATCTGGAAACACATGTCACAAACCAGGCATGTCTTGTGACTTTCTCCTTTAGGTACATGTAACAGAAGTAACGTGGAGCCCAGTTACAGATGGTTTTCCTTCTGTGGCTAGCCCACACTCACAGCACTCCTCCGGCGTTTTTGCAGAGAGCTGAGTGCCTTTTTTAAAATTGAAATTAATACCTGAACATATTTTTTCCTCCTTAATTAAACTTTCAGGATAATTTTCATCTTACCAAGGACCAGGAAATTGCTAATATGTATTATATCGACTGGTTGTGGTTTCTGTAATTAGGATGCTTTAAGAATGTGGATGGTGGATACAATTGATGGTAATGGCTTCATCTATCATGTCTCAGCTTCGTTAGAACTTTTAATTCTGGGATCCCTGGCTCGGTGGACCAGACAGGCTTTCTTAGTTAATAAAACTAATAAATGCTCCATCAACTTTGAGTGGTCTAGGGCTGGCTTGGGGAAGAGGTGGCCAGGGTTTTTGTGAGCTCCAGCAGTAAGACCCAGTTCTTCTTTGCCCTGTTTTACATCTCTGGGACACACATATCTGGAACTAAATCACCACGCCAAAAGAAATGGTAGTTTGGAATACCGACTCTTATTGTGAACTCCTAGAATGATATTCCTAAAATTATTAATAGTCTCATCTTCACCATATTGGCACTAAAGCTTAAGTTTATCAAAACGTAATACATAGCCTACATGATTTGATTTCCCTTTTAAAATATTGGATTCTGGGCATGGTGACACATGCCTATAATCCTAACATTTGGGAGGTGGAGACAAAAAGATTAGAAACTCAAGGCCAGCCTTGGCTACATGAAAACTTGTCTCAAGAATAATAAAATATAAAAGCAAATACTGCCAGTGAGATGGCTCAGTGGGTAAACACATTTGCTGCCAAGTCTTGCAACTTGAGTTCTATCTCCAGGTCCCCATGTGGAAGAGAGAACCAGCTCCTAAGTGTTGTCCTCTGACCTCTACACAACCACACATGCATAAGTGAATGAGTTAAAAATATATATCAGGCTGGGGGGTGTAGCTCAGTGGTAGACTACTTGCCTAGCATGTGAGAGGCTCTGGGTTTGATGCCCAGCAACGAATGAAATATTGAAGATGGTTTCACTGAATGTCATGATCAAATAAATTCAGTGCTTAAATATGTTGTACAGTCAGCTTAAGGTGTATTGTCAGATCCAATAATAAGTACTTATTTTTTTAGAAAAACAATTATAGATTTAAAAACCAAAAGGAAATGGATCATTCCATTAAGCAAAAAAGCCACTCTCTGGAAGATGCTTCCTTACTGTCAGTAACAGAAATACCAGAAATAACCAGAAATTTTCTTCAATTGGTCAAGAAAAGGCAGCAATTTCTTTAATCTATTTTGAGTCACTAAACAATCTAAAATTTGCATTCTCTCCTTTTGATAGTAATTACAAGCAGATATATCAAATGTGACTCTCATTTAGACTTTGGTTTGTAGGAACAAAACTTATTATCAGAGCCAATTACTGTTTTACCTACATGGCTGCACAGAAGCAGGGAGCTCAATTCTCATCTCATCAGTGATTTTGTGGTATTTATTTTATTACTATGCCCACAACGCTATATAAGAAGGAAATAGCTTATGCTATTAAAACTCGGGCTGGAATACAAGAGGCTAAGGTTGCTTCTAGAAGAACTTGTGAATTAAAAACACTAGGCAGCATGTAATGCCAGCTCCCCAGACATGGGCAGACCATAAAACAACATACATCTATCTGAGCAGGAGCTCCCACACAGAGTCATCAAAATTGAAATGCTTCACAAACAAAGTTGAGAGAAGCTATTTGCCAAGTTACAGTATTATCAGCAGAACATTGTTCTCAACAGTGTCTGCCCCGAGTAATGTCTTCTAAAGTGGATATTGCTTAATGCTGTATTCCCACTGGTAAAGGACGTCTTCCATTTAAATCTCAAAGCCAGGGAAAGGACAAATAAGAAAATAATTCAGTCACCTTTCACTTATTCTCACAACCATGATTTTATATATTGAAAAGAGCAATAGACAGTGAGTCCCAGTTTGAGCCACATGAGTTAAATTTCTCATCTGTAACATGGAGAATAATATCAGACTTCACATGGTCATTTGTAAGATTCAAATGACTGATATGTGTTGAGTACCTCATAAATTATAAAGTGCTATTTGGGGGAATACTTGAAAAGAGATCTTACTGGCAGGTGGGGGAGGGAGACTGCCATGGACTGAAATACTTCAAATATACTAAAGCATACACATTCTTAGTAGTCATCCTCCAAAATACCTAATGATAACACCAACAAATTAACTTAGAATTTGGAAAATAAAAGGAGTTAAGAATTTAACCTACTTTTCCTTAAAAAATTCTATTTCATATTCACCAAAAATGTCTTTAAAATTATCTTTGTTGATGCTATTAAAGGTCAAAAGACTGCCAGAATTCTAAAAATCACTACAATCCCTAATCCGATCATACATTCAGGTAGCATTGATGGTTTCTGAGATGGATCATGGTGGACAGCTGTAGTTTTATAAAGGGCAAAACAAGATGATTGGAGCCAGATTTACTGATCAACTGTAGTATCAATAAGAGAGTAAAGATACTATAAAGTTACGCGTGGTAACTCAGGCCTGTAATCTCAGGGTCATCCTTGGCTGCACGGTGAGTTCAAGGCAAGCCTGGGCTATGGAAGAATTCTGAGAGAAGAGCAGGGGCAGACTTTGCCCATAAAAGATGGGAATGAGGAAAAGGAGGTGAAGAGCAACAGAAATCCTAATGGCTGTTAAAGCCAGGCGACAGTTAGTTACATTTCATTGTATATTTGTGTCTATTTAAAAAATACAACTTCTTAATAAGTCATTAAAGTTACAGTATAGTCAAAACATTTATTTTATTACCTTTTTTTTCTAACATCCTATTCTCTATGGCATCCTTCCTTCCCTCCCTATCAGGCAGGGAAGGCTCAACATGCAGAAACCCCTCATAGGCTCAGCAGCATCAGCTCCATGATGCTTACAAATAGCCAGAATCTGGCCTGATGCCCCAAGTTCACAAAGCTGTAAGGATAACCACTGCTTTCCAGATGTACCTGTCCTTTTTTTCCCTGAGAACTGAAGAATGAAAGCAAACACTTAGTCAGCTCTGACTTTGTGCCAGGAACAAGTACGTAGGTACTGTCACATCTGACTCTAACTCAGCGTAAAATGGAGCGAGGGTACACATGATAGTTGCCTACCTGGGCAAGCGACTGCCAAGTCCTATGACCTGCCAGTGGGGAAATAGATTTGATTTGCCTGTGACATCAGGTCTCTTTCTGTCACTGGGATGGAAAATAATGGGTCATCTTTCTTAGGAGATGACAATGACTTTGAGACCTGAATGAAGAAACTGAATCAGTCATGCAAAGATCTGGAATTCCCCCAAGGAGAGAGAAACTAATAAGTGAGCAGAGACAGCTGCAAAAGTCAAGGTCACCTGGCCTTCACAGGCAGGAGGAACCAGGTACAGAGGCCAAGGCCACTGGAGGCACCTTCATAGCCGGGAGGAACACTTCTTCCACTGTGGCTAGGAGGAGGAGGAAGAGGC